TTCTTCTGTTCAAAAGACTGGGGAGGAGTGTGAACTGGACAATAAGTCAACCTATCTACTCCTATTGAGAAAGAAACAAATAAGAAAAAAATTTCAGAGTTTAAGCAGAGATGTCAGAAGTATAGAGTTGAAGTAGACTTTAGAAGGAACCTGTAACAGGGTTGATATTAATGACAGAAATTAAAAAGTAAAAAGATAACAACAATAAAAACTTGGGACATATGTTGACATAAATAACAAGAATTTGTATTTTCTTTTTGTGATGTGAATTGCAGAATATTGATATGGTGTGTGTAAAAATTTTTTGGTGTCTCTTATTTAAAAGTCTGTGCTTACTTGGTTTGGTTCTGAGAATTTTGTTTGTGAGGATGGCATTTAAAATTGTCTGTTTTTGATCTTCACAAAGCACTGACTAGACGTGTTTCTGTACTGCTACTTGTCTACTCGTTACTGACTACTGCTACAGGTACCTTAGTCTACTCTACTGACCCTCATGTAGTGGAAGGGTTGTTTTTATAATGATGAGCATTAGGATGATGAATATCATTCTTTTCTATCATCACTCATGACAATGTTATTTTTAGAATGATGAAATATACTCATCATTATGGATCATAACAAACTGAAAATCCAATCCTAAACAGGAGACAAGGGATAAACTTCCACTTCTGTTCAAAAGACCTTGGATATCTTAGTTTATAAAGAAAACACAAAAATAAAAAAAATTATACATTAATTTATTAATGCTCTAAATAAATTATCAAACAACAAAATCATCATCTCCTCACTTCCTGACAAAGGTGGAGGCTGTGTAATTATAAACACTGACACAAAAAATAACATTACTAACAGATAGTCAAACCTATGAAAAAAAAAAAACCTAACAAAGATCTTTGACTTAAAACAACTTTTCAGGAAAATACATTTCTCAAGTCCAGTAGCTGTTATTGCTCTTATCATTATTAATGGAAGAATCCTTCCTAACATTTTATTTGAAGTAGTGTGCAATGTTAAGATCTGGATTATATCTGTTAACTATGCCGACTCTTGTAGTCCTACCAAGGATTGAACTCACCATTCTTGGATAACAAATTTATGAAGATATTCGACTCCCACTCCTCAGCTTAATTTATGTGTTCTAAGTGGTGGTAGTAGCTTATCTCACTTCCTGCCAAAGTGGATTTAATCTTTAAACATTATTTAAGTTTACTGAAATTTATCCTCAGTGAATATTTTTCAATTGTTTGAAGTGCTGTCACTCAGTTTATTGACCAAGATCCTGTTTTATCAATATCATTATTTTCTCTGAGTAACATATGCTATCCATTTTAGTTGTTGCTGCTGTTGATAGTCCTCAAGTGATGTGGTTTCTGTTATTTGGTACAGTTCTTTGTTTGTGGTTTTGTAGTGCCAGTCCACAATGTTCAATAAAGGTTGGTCTTCACCAAGACTTACAGGCTTTAATCACTTAAAGCCATTTTTAATCATTAATTGTAGAAAGCAGTTGTATACAGCTGACAGTTTAGATATTTCTGAATAAGGTTGATGCTATACATGACATCCATATGAAAATCTCAATAACAAACCTAGGAACTATAAAACAAATATATTGAAATATTTACAAAATCCTATAAAACTGAATTAAAACAATGAAATATGATCTCCCTACACAGAATTTCACCTCAAAATATCTACATTATATGATCAGCTAAAAACACCAGAGATTAATATTCCAGAGAGGTCAATAAGATAAGGTGGAGCAACTTTGTTTGTGTTTTTATTTAGCAATTGATTATTGTTAATGATTCATGGATTTTCAATATGGAAAGTCCTGGATCTTTTAATTATGTAAATAATGAGAGAGAGAGAGAAAAAAAAAAGAAAAAGAAAAATGACTTAAATTAATGAGGGAGCTATAGAAGAAAAGAATATTCTCCTGTTTGAATTCCCCCATTATAGGCATTGTTATATTCATGATATAATAACACCTTATTTCACAGGTGGTATAGAATGGCTGAAAGAAAAAAAGAATGACAAACTTTGTTCTCAGAAGGAGTTTCATACAAAAAATTATATACACATATTTACATTTGTCCCATGCAGAGAAACTATAACATGTCTACACAAGCAGTGTGAAAAGGCAACAAAACAACAGAGTCTAACTTGTAATAATTCCTGTTTGGAATTATTACAAGTTACAAGAACAGGAAATGGAGCTGCCAGAGATCCTTTTGTCTTTATAGTAAAGCCCTATTTACGATTCCAGATTCAAGTGGGCTGGATTTATCTGCTATGTCACTAATGAAGGCATATTCCTCTCAAACAAGAAAATGATGAATCATGGGTTTTTCCCACTTTTGTCACTCTATTAAGTGACATCACAAGGCAGCTGTTATGTGACACACATGACTTCATCTTAACCAGAGAGAGATAATAGCCTTTTGTAGCTTGACATTAATAACAATAAAAAAGGTGGAATTGATAAAACAACAAATGGAGATAAATGATTGATAAGACATGGTTGAGATAAGTGAAAGAATTTTTATTTCCCGTGATCTACATGGCTCGATTATTTGCTCATTCCAGGGTATTGTATATTAGTTCTTCAGGATATAGCATAAGGAGATTAGCTGAGCCAGATATGTAGAGAAAATCAACACATATATGTAGTCAAGTAGTTGATTTGGTTTGTTTTACGGCATATGAACCTCAATAGGTTATTTAATGCTGACAAAATTTTTATTGATGGTAATATTTTTTTTTTTTTCTTAAAAAATGTATAGGTGGTATTATTTTTTATTCAAAAAAAGTATTGCTGGTAATAATTTTTTCTTCAATAATTGGTTGCTGGTAATAATTTTTTTACAAAATATTTCTGGTAATAAAACCTATTTTTACACTTTCATAGTGTTTTGACCCTAGTTTGGGGGGTTAACTATTTACCCATAGTTGGGACCCTAACAGGTGCTACCACCCCGGATCAAGGTAGACTTGGGAACACCAGCAATTAAGAGGTGGTTTCACGCTTCTCAAAACCTCCTGATCAGAGGCCTTGCTGTTGGACATAGTTTATCGTCTTACCCAGGACGAAGTCAAGTGAGAGAGATTTGTGGGAGAAACCAGCATGCATATGCAGTGAAGAGAGTTAGACTCTGCTACTGCTGATTTCATTGCTGGTTGAAGGCATCACATTTGACGATCTGATCAGTCATGTAGACTGCTGTGTTTGGCTAAGTTTGTTTGACATGACGTCTGTCAATAAAGTCAGCCAGGTTGAATCTGATCTCATGGGTGAAATAAGTTTTGGCTTTATAGTCAGTAGCTCAGAAACAGCCACTGCGAAAATCACATGACCCTTTTGCTGATTAGTCAAAAAAGATGCTTTATGCTCCCCCACTTCCAACAATAAGGTCCTCTCTTTCCAGCATTGAGACTACCATCTTTTAACATTGCCTCTGCTGGGAAGTTCACATGTACAAAATGGATCCCACTCAATTTCCACATATCAACATGTTTGGAGAACTTGCCGGGCTCAAAACAACGCTTCAAGGATCAGTTGAAAACATCCATGACACAGGCCAACATCGACCCTGAGACCTGGGATACTGTTGCTGCAAACTGGCCTAGGATCATTCGATAATGGGAGAGAGACTTTAGAGTCCAACCATTAATATGAAGAGGATCTGCGTTATGCTGACAAGAGGGTCAGACTTGACCAGCCACATCCCCCACCTACACTCCTCTGAAACTCCTGCTCACAACTCTTCAGGAGTAAGATGAGTCTTCACAGCCATCTCTGCCACCACCACAAGGGGTAGAGAAAGGAAATAACGAGTGGTAATTTAGGGCAATATTTTGGAAGTGTGGAGCTAGAAAAAATTAAGGTCTGGTTTAGTTATATAAGCTGTGGATGTTGAAGTGAACACTTTCATTTGAGTTAACAAATTGCAGTTCCAACAGGGTACAACAGACTATAGGTTGTGATCTCTACTAAATTCTTGAAGCTTCTGTAATGTTATCTTAATAATGTCTGATTAGAATACAAGACTAAATTTTTCAAATATAAAATAATTTTTTATTAACTTCTGGACTCCATCAAATTAACCCCAACCAAATCAAGGGTATGTGGTTTTGGATCTTTCTTTGAATGTTTGATCTTTTTGCAAAGATGTGAGGAATTCTGTCTCTCCCCTCATAGGTTGGGCATTTATATAACTTCCTGTTATCTGGTTGTCTTCTGTGAATATATTTTAAATTCACCTGGGTTCACTTCTTTGTTTACATTGGTGAACCCACCAACAACCTTTGGGGCCCATTTCTGCACTTGGTGACTATGAAGTCACACTTCTTTTGACTTTCTAAAGTCACACCTAGTACAAAATTTATTTTGTTATCCCTTATGGCAGGGATTTTCAGCAGGTGTGAAATTCATCCCAAGTGGGGTGAATTTTGCATTTTCAGGAATAAATTGTGACCACAGTAAGTTTTTTTTTGGGGGGGGGCAAGGAGAGCAATTATATAATTTGGCCTATCTGGCCTGCCATCTTGAAAAGGAGAGGGGGATGGTATTCTGACAAATGGTAAAAGGGATGCATGGTGCAAGCAAGGTTGAAAACCTCTGCCTTAGGGTGAACTCAGTACATATTGGGGTCACCACAGTTCAACTCTTCTCAGATGAAGGCTCTTTTCCTGATGGACATTAAATTTGATTCAGGCCTTTGGTATTTCCTTGCATGAAACAAATATTATAATTCTGTAGCCAAAGTGGTTAAAGTGATGTCAAAAGTTGTGGAATTTTACTCAAAAGTTATGGAAGTGCTACCTGATAAGTGACAAGTCATTGCAAATAATGGTGAATAGATGATTGAATAAAATGTAAATGTGCTTTATTTTTTGAAGAATAAAACAAAAATAGATTGTATTTATGACTTAATAACAGGCAAGAAGATAACCAATTTCATGACCGGTCACCTCAAAAAAAAAAAGAAAGTGACACTTACGCAGTAATCCTGTTGAGGACTGACCGATCCGGTATTCCTTTGTGAATCATCCCTGGCCGTACTGCATAGAGACGGCTCCTCTCAGTGCTCCAAGATGGCACCCACAGGGGTTTTGCATCAGTGTCGGGGTCCGCATAGCTTCCATTGTCAGGTTGAATACTGAGGTAATGGTCAAGATTCTTGTCAATGGTAGTCACAGATAAAGAAGAATCCTGGCGTTGGCAAGGGTCAAGCTTTCGGCGCTGTTGGCGCCAAAGAAAGGGTTGGGCAGTATGAAGGTTGTCAGGTATCACAGGATCAGGACGCAGCACTATCACCTTGGGTGCCAGTGCAATTGCAGATTGACTTTTACATTTTGGCATGGCATCTGTTGATTGGAGTGTGTGATTCCAAATTTCTGAAATTAAAAATATTTACTAAGCTTACTTTTGACTAACACAGGGTCATAAGTGATTCTCATGGGTAGTAACACCTCTCTGGGGGTTGTTGTCAATTCTCAAGGGGAAATAAGTGTTCAGAGGTATTATGGGGAGGGTGCTATGATTTGAACAAGATGATTTAATCTTTAAAACATGAAGATGTACTGGAATACCAAAAGATGCCTTCCAAAAATTAAGCAAATAACTAAAAAACAGGAAAATGTTGTTAGATACAAAGAAAGGAGTGGTGAAATGCTATGCAATCTCACTCTTATATGGTATTGAATGCTGGACAATTTCATTGAGACTTGAGGCAATGGAGTTATCTAATAAAAAAATGTAAAAAAATGATATAAAAATAATTAAAAGATAAAAAAAATAATAATACAATAGACTAGGTTTGTTTATCACACTTTCTTTTGAGTGGAGTGTTAAAAAAATTATCAAGAGAAGAAAGTTAAACATGACCTTTAGCCCCTTTTCCAAGGTAGAGGCATATTCTTAGGAAGACGCTATCACTTGGGCTTGACCACATAAATAATTTAACCACCCGGCCCTAGACCAAAAACAAATCAGTGATCAATGTGTCGTTCCGTGATGACGTCATTTCTAAACTCAAAATTATTAAATTAGAATTTATTTAATTAATAAAATGAATTTATTCGATTTTTTTTTTTTTAAAAAGAAGAGAAATTATGTATAATAAATTTGTTAAAGATATTTTAACTATGGAATTATTTTTACAATTCGATCACCACAAAGAAAAAAATGTTTTTTTTAAACATCTGCTTTTTTTTTTTTTTTTTTTTTTTTTACACGTCACGACGTACATTTAATTGAAATTATTCTATTATTATTTTATTTAAAAAAAAGTAGTGGGGGATTGTAAAATTGAAAATAAAACTAATACTTAAAAGTCCGGACGTGGCAAAGAAGAACAAATGCCGGTTTAGTTAGTAAGTAAAGTTTTCTCGACTTTTTTTGTGTGGTGTTTGTTAATTGATTGAAATTTTAAAAATATGAATTATTTAATTTTTTTATATATTACTATTTGTTATTTATTTATTTATTTATTTTAATCTTTTCTGTTAATTTACCCCAAATAATGTAAAGTTACTTATCGCAAAAGAAATGATAAATTTTTAAATCAAAATTTGTTTTGCTTGCCACGCAACAACTCCAACCGTCAGAATGAAAAATTATCAAAAGCCAGGGAGTTATTCACATTTAGTAAGTGCGGATAATATCCGAGGTACTTACAAGGAATTTTTTACAATTAAAAAAAAAATTTAATCTGTTTTTGGCTTGTTTATCGAGGTGAACGCGAACGTAGAACCCCCCCCCCCCATTTCCACACTTAGAAATAGCGCACCTGAGTCGCTCATATTCGGGGCGATCGTAAAGGTCAACCCAACTGGAGTGCGCTGGAAGGACCTCGCTCTGGGATAATTTGGTGTGAATTTTATTTTTAATAAATATAACTTCTTTTTTTTATTATTATTATTTCGGGGTGAATTCTTATTTTTTAACTTAAAAATCCCCCCCCCCAAAAAAAACCACTTTTAACAAAGAATCTTTTTTCTTTTTTTTTTAATTTAAAATACATTTTTGTTTTTCTCTGCTTTCAAATTGTAACAACTTTTTTTTTTTTTTTTTTTAATGCTGTTTGTTTTTAGTAACACATATGTGGAATACAATCCACTTGGGACCGCATCTTTATAAAAGTACCAAGACCTAATTTCACGGACACAAGTTATGAACTTAAATAACCGATTGTGGAAATACTAAAAATTTCTTGTTTCTATTATTATACTGTTTTGTATTTTTTTAAATAAAAAGACTTCTTTTTTTTTTTGTCATTGTATCTGTTTAATTTTATTTCATTGTTAATAAAAAGACAACGATTTAAAAAAAAAATCAAAACAGTTCACAACTGAAGACTTAAAGAGTTCACATCACAGAAAAAAACAAAACTTGTTTTTTAAAATAAAAAACAATCTCATGCACTTTCTGAAGAAAAAAATAATCCTACCTTGGCTGATCTCCGTCAATTTGTTTTAAATCTAACTGGCAACACAAAGTTCGACGACAGGCCACATTTCTACCCACAGTCACTATTGCAGTCCATTCATATTGACACGTCGCGACCATTAAGCTCACCATGCTGTATCTAAGGGAAGCGGTTCGTTGTCAAGTAGCTGTCACCGGAAACAGACGAAGTTCAATAAATATTTTCAAAGCAAACTTATTTGAAACTGGAATTTTATTATCGCATTTACTTAAAAGAAAAATATGATTACATATCTAAAATATAAAAAGAAAAAAATTTGAGAAGTCTGTCTAAACTTTATAGATGTATTACATCATTTTTAAGCCTGGCAGTCCGATGGACGCGATAATTTCTACGGAAGACCGAAAGTAATATTTATAACAAAGTTTTGTTTTCAGAGATGCACAACTTGTCATATCAGCACTTTTATTTTCTTAATTTTTAATACAACGTTCCTTTAGAAGGTAGACTATTGTGAGTCTCCACAGATTCCTTTTCTTTATTATCTGTGAATTGCCATGATTTACTAAGAATTTCAAACCACCAGAAACGAGAGAATGTATGCTTTTTTTCCGAAATGAAAGCAAAAAATTGCTACAAATTGTTTTTTGAAATATTTGCCAAAAATCAGGGAATTATTCGATCCAGATGGATTTCTCATTTAATGATTTAATTGTATAGGGAATAAATTATCTTATTAGAAAACTTTGTGAAAAAATTGTCCACCTGCTTTTCATAATTATTCATTCTACTAAGTTTCATAAAATCATACAGAATAAAAAATATATATTCTTAAACTACTAGCTACATAAGGTTAAAGATAATTTATTTTTAAACATAAATACCAATGTCTTCATTATTGGACTGCTGGTGTTCCATATTTCTATTAGTTATTATTTCAATTTGTCATGCTCTTTTTAAATAAGGGAGTATGATTATATATTTTTAAAAATTTTTTGACCTATTAGCATGAATACATTTAGGGCTTAAATCTACACTAGTGGATAAATAAAGGCTTCCATTTGAAATTCCAATCACCTGTGGAAGGCCAGGGGTACAACGGTCAAAATGTTGTGAATATGGCAACAAAGATGAGGACAACAGTCCAAACATTGTAAATAGTGTAAATAATTACAATACCTCATTTCAGGAATATAGACTAATATTGAAGGAATTTTACATATATATATTTATTATATAAATGCTATTTGTTGTGGGTGGTATGCTGATATTGAATGAAAAAAAAACACATATTTTACAAAAGATAAAGCCCTTCATAAGGTGTGGGCTGTGCTCATGAGAACAATTTTTTTGTATTTCTTTAAGGCATGGGCTGCCAGGAATCCCTTCAATGTGTCTATTAGAAACATTTCCAATCAATCCGAGGGCTCCAAATGCAACAGGAATTGCTGATGTTCTCATGTGCCACATTGTTATTATTATTATTTTTATTTTCTTTGATTTCTGGCGTTTACACATTTCTTTCCAGGTCCCACCCAGGGACCCAAGGTTAGAAATGACATCATGACACTTTCCACTGACAAAAAAAAAAAAATTACATAGATAAAACCCTTTGTAAAGTGTGGGCTGTACTTGTCAGAACAATTTTTTGTATCTCCTTGAAGCATGGACTTCCAGGAATCCCTTCAATTAGTCTACTGCAATCTTTTCCAACCAATCCTAGGGCTCCAACTACAACAGGGATTGTTGATGTTCCCATGTGCCACATTTTTGAGATTTCTATTTCAAGGTCCTTGTATTTTGACAGCTTTTTGAACATCTTCAGAGATACATTGCAGTCAGCAAAGACTGCCATATCAATAAGAAGGCACTTTTTTTGTTTGTGGTCTTTAATGACAATATTATTATTATTATTATTATTATTATTATTATTATTATTATTATCTTTCACATTTCATTTTCAACCAGAAGTCTTGCATTATGGATATTCTCCATCAAGCCATATGACCCCAGACAGACATCTTACACAGAATATTTGCCATACCAAGAAACTTAGACTTGTGAAGCAAAGGAACACTAAACTTTATTCCAATTTCTCAATGTTGGACTTTAACTTTGGTAGCACAGACACCAACACTTAAAGGATAACTGGGACATTAGTAGCCTGAATGTTTCCAATTCTGGCAGCTTCAATCTGGAGGCCACTGTATTTTTTGATCTTGTCAATTTATTTGATTTTCATATTATAGTCACCAGAAACAGTCACATCAATGAGAAGGATTTTTTTTTTGTTTTATTTGTAATGTCTGGTATGGTTGCCTCAAAGATGCAATCTGTCTGGATCCTGAAAGATCCTCATTTATCACTTTTCTTTTTGGCTTGTAGCAACTTCAAATCCATACTTATTTTACATAAAATGCAATGTAGAAAAGAAGTCACTTTATCATGGCAGTGCTTGTATTCTTTCTGTCAAAGCATCTCACAAGTGTTAAGTAGGTGACATTTTTCTACTTCTGTGTCACACAGTTTGCACTTGCCTGAATCTTCTTGTTGATAGATGTTCTTCTTGAGAGAATTAGTATTCAGGGCTTGGTCTTGGGTAGGTAGGCATTCCATCTCACACAGTTGCTAACCAATCCCATGAATCCTTTGTCTTAATCCGGTGTAGCAGGGAGCTGATTGGGAGCCCTAGGCAATGTTTTGTGATCCTTCCTATCTAATCAACATTTGTTTTTTCTACCAACATTTATATGTTACAAATTAAACTCAGCACAACTGATTATTAAAGGATGAAAACTTTTTGCAGATTTTTGACATCATTCTGGGGTCTTTTCTTTTCATCCAAATTTATGCATTTGTTATACTCATGCTAAGTCTCGAAAAAAACACTATATAAAATTCACTATTTTTTGTCCATAATTTTGAATGTGTTAAAATGATACAACTTTTTAACAAGAAAAAACTCAAGTTGATGTTAAAAATTGCCTCAAAACATTGTTGATTTATTTAAGTTGGAATGATCTATTATGATTTATCTCTAGCTTGTATTTAAATACATTGTATTTATTTTCAATTTTTCTACTTGAATTGTTCACCTATATTGCATATGATCTGTTATTGTACATAACTAGGTTGCAATAAAATTTGCATTTTATATGAATACTACCATATGAAAATTAAGATATTATAGAATGGCGGGGCCCCACATCATAGTTTTGGTGAGGGGGAGTATCATAAATTTGTTGGGGCCCCACAAGACCCTTGCATTGGTCCTGGTCTTAATGTTCTGGTAGTGGTGGTGGCGGCGGCATGGCTGTTGTTGTTGTTGCTGCTGCTGCTATTATTATTATTACTATTTTTTTTTTTTTCTTTGATTTCTGGCGTTTACACATTTCTTTCCGCGTCCCGCCCAGGGAGCTAAGGTTAGAAATGGCATCATAACACTTTCCACTGACAAAAAAAAAAAAAAAAATTACATAGATAAAACCCTTCATAAAGTGTGGGATGTACTTGTCAGAACAATTTTTTGTATCTCTTATTATTATTATTATTATTATTATTTTCAATTGGTGATTTCTGTGCAATTGCAAATTTGCTTTCTTAACACATAGAATACACTGAAACAGCTGTCCTCAATGAGGTTTTGAAGCAAGAAATCAATACTAAAGTAAATGAATATAAATCATCCACATTTATGATGCAATTCCTTAATTCATAAATAAGAGGATGGGTGCTGAAAAGATCACAGTGGAAGTCACTTCTGAAAATTAGTAATCCAAATAGCAAACAGGTGAACATTTTTTTTTGGAAAGATGTAAAGAAACTTGAGGAATTATGTGACAAGAGTGTTGATTGATTGGTTGGTTGATTTTGTTTAGCAGAATATTAATTGCAATGGGTTATATAATGCTGAAATCAGAATATTTTAAACAGAATTTTATGGCTACAACTAAATATATTTTGTATGTCTTCAAGTACAGGTAAAATATATTGTTGGGCATTTTGCTATAAAATGTATTGTTGATCATTTTACTATAAAAATGTATTTCTGGTCATTTTATTGTTAAAATGTAATGCTGGTCATTTTACTATAAAAATGTATTGTTGGACATTTTACTATACAAATGTATTGCTGGTCATTTGGCCTTAAAATATATTGGTGGTCATTTTATTATAAAAATGTATTGCTGGTCATTTTACTATAAAATTGTATTGTTGGTCATTTTACTTTAAACATGTATTGTTGGTCATTTTACAAAAATGTATTGGTCATTTTGCTATAAAAATGTATTCCTGGTCATTTTATTATAAAAATGTATTGCTGGTCAATTTACTGTAAAAATGTATTGCTGGACATTTTAATATGAAAATGTATTGTTGGTCAGTTCACTGTAAAAATGTAGAGCTGGTCATTTTACTATAAAAATGTATTGCTGATAATTTTCCTATAAAAATGTACTGCGGGTCATTTTACTAGAAAAATGAATAGTAGATCATTTTACTGTAAAAATGTATTGTCGGTCATTTTACTATAAAATGTATTGCTGAACTTTTTACTATAAAATCTATTGTTCATCATTTTACTGTAAAAATGTATTGTTGATCATTTTAATATAAAATTGTATTGTTGCTCATTTTACTGTAAAAATGTATTGCTGGTCATTTTACTATAAAAAAGTAATCTTGACAAATTTTCTATAAAAATATATTGTTGGTGATTATGCTGTAAAAAAGTATTCAGATAATTTTACTATAAAAATGTATTGTTGGCCATTTTACTGTAAAAATATATTGTTGATCATTTTACTATAAAAATATATTGATGCTTATTTTACTGTAAAAATGTATTGCTGATAATTTTACAAGAAAAATGTATTGTTAGTCATTTTACTGTAAAAAAATACTGAATGTTATTTTACTATAAAATGTGTTGCTGATCATTCTACTATATAAAGGTATTGCTGTTTATATTACTATAAAATATACTGCTGGTCATTTTACTATAAAAATTTATTGCTGGACATTTTACTATTAAAATTTATTGCTCGACATTTTACTGTAAAAATGTATTCCTAGTCATTTTATTATAAAGATGTATTGCTGGTACATTTACTGTAAATATGTATTGCTGGTCATTCCA